TATTTGAGCTCTAAAATATAGACTTAAAAGCATACTTTCTCCTGAGTTACCAGCTGGTCTAGGTAATATCAAAATTAATTTATAATTAAATAAAAACCATTAAAATGGGGAAGATTGTTGGACAGGACTCTTGATTGATGAATAGAGGGTGGCCAACCTTTGTTCATCAATAGAGAGCTCCCAATAATCTCCTTAAAAGACACGCTTAATAATTTGGTCATTGGTTAAAAGACAAAGTTTTTTCAAAAATTAAAATAAGGTTTTCTCATAAAAGATACTTAATATATTGAACATATTCATGCCTTCTAAAATACTGTATGCTACAATATAAATTTTCTTTCAGACTTAAGCATATGCCTTTCTCTTATGCTCCAGGTATTTATTTATTTATTTATTTATTTATTTTTATTTTGTAGAACCAAGGATTGAACTCAGGCCCTTGCACTTGCCAAGGAAGCGCTTATCCCACTGAGCCATCTCCCCAGCCCCAACTCCAGGTATTTACAATAAGAGGTTCCCATCAAGCCAATATGAGGTCATCAGCCAAATCATAATTTTCTAACTAAAACTGATGTGATATATATCCTATGTATGCGCTGTCACATTTAGAGATGCACCTTCCTGTCAAGCCAACATGAGGTCATCAACCAAATAATTATTTTATAACTAAAACTTATGTAATATGTATCCTATGTACATTTAAAGATGTGAAAACAAAATGAGGATTTCATATGACTGTTATGCTGCCCTATTGACTATGACTATTGATGTCAAATGATCTCTACAAAATTATGTAACTTGTCCATTAACATTCTCTAGGGATTTAACTGCTAAAACATCCATGGTTGATAATAAATAATAGTTCTCTGCTTACACTTTATATTTCAGGGTACTAGATACTCAGATAAAAGTCTAATAATCAAATGTATTGCTCCAAACTAAGTATATAAATGTAGAAGGAGATTCTCCTAAAAAAAAAAAAAAACAGTTATTATTAATTCCTATTTTATATCCCTATCTGTTCCTGGCATTCATGCCAAGCTAAAAAGTCAAATCTTGGCCCTCAAACACAGGAAAATTAATCTAACTTTCTGTGTCTTCAATAATAGAGACCAAAAGTAACTACACACACTGCCAACTTTTGGCTGCGACGCTTGGGACTGCCATCAAAGCAAGACCTTGACAAGGTAATTCTGAGTCTAAACAATGCTGCCACCCAAGCCAAGTGTGGTCAGGGACACTGGGCATGAGCCTGCCCTAACTTGCAGCCATTACTAGGACATCTACAAGCTTGAGGGTCACTAGAAATGCGACTGCCCTGTCTGACAGAGAGCGGGTAAGTAATCCAATTCCCTGCCCTCACAGGAAACCTTGCTATGGTCAGATCCATATACTTGAGCTGCTTGGTCTTGCCACTGAAGAGCAATAACAGAACTTGGGTTCCATGGCCTACATCGAGGCACCTTTGTCAAGAGTCCCGAGTCTCGCTGGACATCTCAGGTAAAAAAGAAAAAACTCTTTTCTTGCTGACAGAGACTGCATATAGTGTTCTTCCTGAGTTATAGAATCATTATATTAGGTCTACGGTCTCCATGGTGGGCATGGAGACTACCTACATGGCCAACCTACATGACCCCTTCAGACAGGCCCATTCCTTGCTGACTTCAGACACTGTTCTTCACTCTTAATTTCCTTGTGATCCCAACATGTCCCCTACCTCTCATGGGGAGAGAACTCCTCCAAAAACTCCAATTCTCTCTCACCTCTCTCTCCCTCTACAGTATACATCCTACAAACCCAATTTCAATATACAGCCAGCTCCTCCATCCCTCTTCCCTTGTCAACCGTACACTCTGAGACACTTCCAATCCCACTCATGCCACACATGATGTTCCTAGACTAATATGCCTCAGAGATCCCACAGCATTTCCCTACATTCCCCAATACCCAATAGCCCTCAGACATAAAGAGACTCAAGTCCATCATTCTCTGCCTCCTTACCAAAGTTTTCTTAAAACTGCCCACTCGCCATATAATACCCTCATTCTTCCTATACTCAAACCCAATGGCTCCTATCATTTAGTTCAAGATCTCAAAATTATTAATAATGTAGTTACTCCTTTTCACCCAGTAGCACCAAACCCTTATACTATGCTCTCTCATATCCTCACTTCCACTACTCACTTAACTGTCCTAGGCCTTAGGGATGCTTTCTTCACCATTCCCCTACACCCATATTGTCAGGACCTCTTTGCCTTCTCATGGACTGATCCAGACACTCTCCGATCTCAACAGCTCACATAGACAGTCCTACCTCAAGGATTCAGAGATAGTCCTCATTTCTGTAGCCAACCTCTTGCTGCTGATCTTGAGACCCTTGATCTCTAGCCCATCCACTCCTTCAATATACCAATGACCTCTTCCTTTGCTCCCCCTGTCACACCCTGGCACTAAGACAAACAGCTAATTTTCTCAATTTTCTGTCAGGATCAGCTTATACAATCTCTCCCTCCAAAGCTCAGATAGCTTCACCAAAAGTCAAATATCTAAGACGCACCCTCACTCCCACTACTCATGCAATCACTGCTGACCACAAAGCTCTTCTTCATGACCTTCAGGTGCCCACCACAAAATAACAGGTTTTATCCTTCCTTTGTCTGCCTAATTTCTTCCATCTCTGGGTTCCCAACTTTGCTTCTCTAGTACAGTCTCTCTATAAAACATCAAAATGTCCCTTCTTAGAGCCCCTTGACCCTGTTGCTCCTTTACACTCCTCCTTTTACAAGCTACAGCAGGCCCTCCTGAGGGCCCCAGCTCTCTCTTTACCCAACCCAACTCAGCCTTTTACCCGATATACTTGTTTGCAGGGTCACAATACAGTGGGCATTTTATGACATAAAAAGAGACCATCTTTTCAGGCAGTAGTCTACCTTTCTAAACAACTATAGACAACACAGTTGGTAGATGGACTCCGTGTCTCCACACACTTACACACTAGCACAAGAGACAAAATTTTTACTTTAACAAAATCTATACAGTTGTGTTGCACTACTACAGATGATCCTAACTCCTTTTCCTCACATTGATATCAAAAACTAAAGATCAATGCTCCTCCTCTTCAACACGGTCATGGTGAAATCACACAGTCAGATCATAGACCCCCCCTCTTGCTTCCCTCTTGTGTTCTTTAATCATAATGATGTGTACTCATAACGTGCTGTCTTTTTAAATATTTTTCAAGGTTTCTTCAATCTCTAATGTGAGCTGTCACAAATGATAAACTTCTAGTCCTAGCTGAGACACCTGGCACTAACTTTTACATGGGCCTGAACCATCATCCTGTCAACTCCCTTTATCCCCAAGACGACACCCCAGTTCAGCAGGAAGCTGTCTAAGAGACATGTCGCCCCATTTATAACAACCAAAAAATAGGAATGATAGGTTATGACCCTAGTATGAATTGCTGAATTATTATGGTGGTCATCCAATATGGCTGAAGTCCCTAAAAGCAACAGCTCATCTTCCCAGAGACCACCTCCCCTCTTCTTTTCCACCTCAGCCCAGGGTGCAATTTCCTTAAACCTTTCCCACCACCTCAGGGAAGGCCCCAGTCAGCTCCTCAGGTAGATCTAAAATCCCCCTCAAGCCCCAACCCTGTCAAAAGCCCATAGAAGCCTCAGCCTCCCCTGTTCCAATCCAGAGAATTCCTTCCCAAATTCTCTTCGTGTCCTCCAAAATAATGAAGCCCCTCTCCCTTTATAATAAAGCTCCTTTCCCTTTTTCCTTCTGCCTGTTTCTCTGCTGTGACACCATCAAAACCTATCAATTGGGATCAAACCCGTCCCTGCTCTTGCCTAAGCAGAAGCTTAGTGCCCCAGCTATCTTGCCCACTCAGAAATCCTTTAAAATTTAAATGAAGTTAGTTCTTGAGCCCATTGCCTCTTGTGGTAGAACAGTTGTTTCAAAAAGTTAAACTTCACTATGTTGGTTTAATCTCATTCTGTGTAGGTTGAGTGTCCCTTATTTAAAATGCCTTTCTTGATCTTTAACTATAATCCTCACCCTTGGAAGATGAAGACTTTGACCCGGAAAAAAAAAAAAAAAAAAAACAGAATAAAGAGATGATGGCAGAGGAAATGGGAGATAGAAAAATAAAACTGTTACACAATGTCTGAGATACACAGGCCCTGAGGTTCCAGCATTTGATCTTTACTCAGAACAGGTTCCAAGTCTGCAGGTCTGCACCCAGAAGATACAGGAAACAGAGGAAAGAGGTGGTGATGGGGCTGCAGACCCTGGAGTCATTTGCTACCCTGGGGACAGGTGGCCTGGGGTCACACTGGGTACACACTGCTCTCACTGCCCCATCTGTGAGGTGAGGATTTCACCCCAGAGTTCCTGCCAACTGTGGAACCTGAGGAGTTGTCTCCCTCCAGGAGGCCTAATGGGAACAGCAGCGCTGAATGAAGGGAGAGGCTGGCTCTGTGACAGTGGTCACCCTTGAAAGCTGCAGGGACAGGCAGGTGCGTGTTTGTGTCTTGTGCGAAATCCTGCTTCCTCCCCAACAGGCGTTTATGGTCTCCAGTCTCTGCCTGCTTCTGATACCAAATCTGCCAGCTCAGATTTTGAGAGGACTGTAGCTATCAAAGGATGAAAACAAGAAATTGTCTTTGCAAAAGAACTTATTCCCATTTCAAGTGGGACTCGAGTGGGTATGAGCTGGCCCCATTCCAACAGTGAATGCTGTCAGGTCACAAGGTTCAAGGTTTTGGGGGGTTATTTATTTATTTATTTATTTTTGTGTTTGGGGGAAGGCTTTACCTGGTGTGGCTACTAGATCGAAAACGTAGTGATCCATCTATTTACAGCCTCCCAAAAGCTGGGATTACAGGCGCACACCACCACGCCCAGTCTCCTTTGCCATATCAGCGCACCCCGGGGGCGGGGCCGATACTGCAGAGTTCCTACACCGGCTTGAGGTGCTTTAATCCGCTGAGCTATTTGGCAAGCCCTAAGGTTTTTGGATTTAAAACGCAGGGATCCTGACAAAGGTGGTAGAGGGGAGCTCTGAGGACCCTGCGCTCCCCTCCCTCCTCTAGGGGGCGCAGCCGGCTGACTCCCACTGGGTCCTCCTCGAGCAGTGCAGAGGCGGGGTGGCTTTGCCAACCTGGTCCTGGGGGAAGACTGTGCGCCCGGCTCCCGGGGAGCTGGGCCGGGCGTGGGGACGCGGGGCATCTACGAACACAAAGGGCGTGGGGATGCGGGGCAACTACGGGCACAAGCAATAAGACCCGATTCCAGGCGGGGAGTGTACGGAGAATCAGCGGACTCGCTAGGAAATGGCAAGAACCGCAGAAGTTTCAGAAATGTGTCAGAAAGCTCGGGAGGTTCCTCCCTCATCTCACCAACTTTTCCGCTTGGAAACAGCGCAGACCCCGCAAACGTCAGTCAAAAGGGAATGCGGTTTCGATTTCGCTTTTAGCCCATATTTAGCTGCCTGTAACATCCGGATTGTTTTCAAAACTGGTTTCCCTCTAAGCCCGCTGGACCGAGCGGTGGTGAGCGCGACCGAGAACTCTTCCCTCGCTGCAGAGCCTGCGCCCAGGTGAGCTTGCGCCGTCCCGGCCGTCCGCGGCCCCCAGGAATCGGGGCTGCAGGCTGGCGCTGGCGGGCGGAACACACCTGGGGAGGACGCCGCGGGGCCGAGGGTGCGTGACCGGGAGCGCCGGGCTCTGTCCTGAGGGGCTGCAGAGCGACATTTGCTCTCGCCTGCAGGCCGCGCTGCTCTTCCTGGGCGCGCACCGGGATGCAGCAGAGCTCCGCCTGGGACCCGAGAAGCACTGCCGCCCCCTTCTGGTAGTACAGGATGAGCAAGTCCTGTGGGGACAGTACCTCATCCCCTCAGGAGAGGGGTTCTGAGGCCACTTCTTCCAGCTTCCCTTCCTGTGCTCGGTGATTTCCTGCCCGCTTCCCTATATCAGTCCTCATCAATATTGATGGGTGCAAAATCCTTGATTTGTTTCATTCCCAGGGAGGCTTTTCCTGATTATCATAAAGATAAATTCAACTTCGAATGTCCCTCTGCCCAGCCTGTTTCTTCTCTTCTGAGGACTTAGAGTTACTGTGCAGCGTGTATGTGCGTATGAGACAGGCACGTGTGTGTGCACGCAGTGTGCAGGCTGCTTGTTTGCTTTCATTATCTGTTTCCATCACTACAATCAACGCATTTTGTTCACTCCTTGAGGATGTGCACTTGGAACACTAGACAGCACGTGCCGGATACACAGTCCTTACTCACGGAGAATGAGATCGAACTGTAAGACGCCCAGGACCTCACCTAACCATTCATCTCTATCCTCTACCCCAGATGCCAGCATTTTCAGGGCTCTGTCATGAGTGCTTTACTTCTCTCTCTCTGTTCCTACAAAGACTGGGTAATACTTTTCTAAGAGTTCTTACAGGAATCATAAGATACTCCAACAAACAAAAGGCATTCTGTGTCAGGCCTAGACATGCTAGATTATTTTATTTTCCCTTAGAAACATACAAAATGAAGAAAATGGTTATCCACATTCCACAAGCAGAAAGTTGACATGTGTATGCTTTGAATAACCATGAAAGATGACTTCAAGGTCTTGTACTCCAAAGAGGGGCTTTTCTGAGTTGCAGGTTGCCATGGCATCGGAATCTGTCATGGAGGGCCCCATTTGTCTTGTGGAAAATAACGAAGAGCAGCTGACCGTGAATTCCAAAGCCCTAAGCATTCTTGGAGAGATATCCCAACCGGTGGTGGTGGTGGCCATTGTAGGCCTGTATCGTACTGGGAAGTCCTACCTCATGAACCGTCTTGCGGGTCAGAACCACGGTAAGTGTGATCCTCAGACAGAGGCTTTGCTTGAAACCAGTTAGGACAAACTGGCTACACCTTCTCTAGGGTCACCTTAAAGAGTTAAATGCTTTTCACTGAAGAGAATTTCTAATTCTTACCATTGCATTTGTACCCTGAAATGTATGCACAGACTCACTCTCTTGAGCACTAGTTTCCAGCCTTATCAGATGTTTACTGTGCCTGAGCCCGTGCGCTCTCGCTGCTCAGGACGTCGTTCCAGCAGTTACTCCCAATCCTCCTCCTGCATCTTTCTCATCTTCTGCCCAGGTGACTGCTCATTCCAAATAACACACAGACACAGATGAACATGTTCTTTAAAAAAATAGTAGGGGTCAAAGGACATGCAGTAGGATCCAGTTATCTGACAAGCGAAGTGGGCTGTTGTCCAATTTTCTCTTCTTGTTCTCTTTTTCATAGTGAATTTTTGACAAGCAGTCACCCTCTCACATCTTCTGATTCATCCTTTAAGGCTTGCAATGTACAACATGTACACATATAGCATCAGTGTAAATAAAGTTAATAAAGTAAATTTCTGCATAATCACTACGCAAATCAAGAAGTAAACCCTTCCAACATCCAGAAGCCCAAATCATACTCTCTCACATTCACTAAATCTCATTATTTAGGTTATTTCATTCATTCTAAAAACAACTTAATTTGGCTTCTTTTTAATTTCATTTTCTCTATTTTTTTTTTTTTTTTTTTTTTTTTTTTTTTTTTTTTTTTTTTTTTTTTTTTTTTTTTTTTGGTAGTATTGGGGATCGAACTCTGGACTTTGTGCTTGCCAGGCAGGCGCTTATGCCATTGAGGTATCATCCCAGGCCTGTATATCTATTTTTGAATATTTTGCTTCTTTTATTTGACAAGAGGTCTATAACCTTTGTCATCACATGAATCTGTAATTTTTAAAATTTTCACTGCTTCATAGTATGCTGTTGGTGCTATTTTTACTTTTCATCTTTAATGAATATGTTGTCATGAATATTCTTGCATTTATATCCCGGTACATGCTTCTCTTGTACAAATATATCCAAAATTGGATATATGGATATATGGACTATATGGAATTTCTGAATCAGAGTATGAAGTTGTCAACCTTTCTGAAGGCTGAGTAATATTAAACAGCTTATCAAATATTATCTCCAATTTCCTGTATATCCTACTGTATTGGTAACTAAGGATTGAACAAATTGAATAACAAGGCAAATTTTTAAGTTTTGCTGATCTGTGGACCATATAGTTTTATGATATTTATCTTGCTATACATAAATTTGAGCACTTTGAGATTTGAATTTTCCATATTACAAAATTTTTTTCCCACCAAGTTTTTTCTTTTCACTGTTGCTGTTAGGAGACGATGTGGCAATTCAGTCCTTGAAGGCTGTGCAGCCACTCGCCCTTCCTGTCATCCTTTCCATCTGGCTCAGTCACTCAGCACCAGGGGGACTTCAAATTCCATCTACCAAGCTGAAGATCCCAAGACTCGCCTTTCCACTCCCTCACTGACACTGTCACACTTGTTTTCCTGTCTCCTTTGTTTTTATAGAGTCTCTCTCTCTCTCTCTCTCTCTCTCTCTCTCTCTCTCTCTCTCCATTTTCCTCTACAGAATTCACACTACCTTCATAATGTGACACAGTCTGAGCATGAGAGAGAACCAGGAGAACAGGACACAAAGTGTATCTTAAGAAAGTCCTGCATGCAGCCCTAAAGACTGGATTGGCTGTCCTTGCTGAAGCAGTCTAACCCTCACCTTCCTGTAAGTTTAACCAGCCTAGGCCCTGGTGGCTTGGTCTCTGTGCCATCACTGTTGTTTCTCCCCTTCCCTTCAGGGTTTGCTCTGGGCTCCACAGTGCAGTCTAAAACCAAGGGCATCTGGATGTGGTGTGTGCCCCACCCCACCAAGCCAAACCACACGCTGGTCCTTCTGGACACCGAGGGCCTGGGGGACGTGGAGAAGGTGAGCAAAGAATCCCCTCAGTTCCACTTCTGTCTGGTGTAACTGTAAATTGGGAATCCAGCTATGAATATGGCATTTCCTCAGATACCTTAGTACATTAGGATGCTCTTATTTTGCATACTTAGGAGAATGATTTAATGAATATATATTAAATAAATGAATTCCAGGCTCTGTATTAAATACCACAGACATAGCAGCAAACAAAATGTTGGAGGTTGGTTGTAGAAGCAAGAAATATGGAGTATGATCAGAGACAGTGCAGATGCACAAATGAGAATTTGGTCCCATCATTAGAGCTAAGAAAAACGTTCTAGGGGAAAATCGTCATCCATGGCATTAATGAAATCTATGACTTAAGATGTGAAGGTGTGGTGCAGTTGGTGATAGGGATCAGGAAAACAGTCTTGGGTGGCTTATTTGGACACTTAGGCTGTTAAGTTTAACCTCACTATCTGTCTGCATATCAAACATCTTAGGCATAATATGGAACAGGTATTTTTCATCAAGTATTGATATGTTGAACTTTAAGTCCCTACAGAATATGATAAAAAAAAGCATTTAAAAATTAGAATATATTTTTAAAATAGGCATAAAGAATTATATACTTCTTATCCTGCACTTGTTCTAACAGCTTATAAGCTAATGTTTTCAGAGGGACCAATGTACAAAACACAAAATAAGGTATGTATTTAGTATTATCTTTAAAATTTATTTCTCTTGTACTCAGCAATAGTATAGGTGAAAGAAAAAAGACAGAATGAGTGAATGAATGAATGAACAAATGAGTGGATAGTGTATTCCTTAGTGCCTGCTCTAATGTGCTTTCTAGGGTGACTCTAAGAATGACTCCTGGATCTTTGCCCTGGCCGTGCTTCTGAGCAGCACCTTTGTCTACAACAGCCTGGGCACCATCAACCACCAGGCCCTGGAGCAGCTGCAGTATCCTTCCAGAGCTGAGCCAGCTTGTGTCCCTGGCATTAGAGAAATGGCAACTGAAGCTGTTTCTTCTCTTTGCTGCTCAGTTCTCATGTTAAAAGTGGTCACAGCACACATAGAAATGCTGCTAAGATGTATTTCTAAGGGACATCCGGGAACCATGGTGCCTCTCTTTCCTTAGCTGAGATCCCAGCTATGTGACTGAATTAACACAGCTGATCAGGGCGAAAGCTGACTCCAGAGCTGATGAATTAGAGGACTCCAGCGAGTTTGTGGGTTTCTTTCCAGATTTTGTTTGGGCTGTTCGGGATTTCACACTGGAGCTGAAATTAGATGGACACCCCATCACAGAAGATGAGTACCTGGAGACTGCCTTGAAGCTGATTCCAGGTATTGGGGTGTGGCTCTGATGGAGGAAGCTTTATTGTGGTAATAGGGTCAGCTAAGCCCTGTCATCCAGCACTTGAGAGATGGTGGTGGTGGGTGACTGACAGGTGGCCGTGGCATTAGCAGCTATTCACAGTGAAACATCTTGAGAGTCTGAGATTTAGCTCACTAAGGAAATTTAAGGCTCAGTGTTGAATCAGATAATTTTAAATCAGCCAATACCATAAAAAAGTGAAGATTACAATCAATAACTCTACTTTCTTAGGCTGATACAATTACTTACCAAGTGTTTCTATTCCTGTTGTATTTGGAGCAAAATAACTCATCAACTTAGAAATTGTTAAATCCAGTAGTACAAGAAACCCTAATAAACTAATTAAAAATAGCTATTTTATTCAGTACCGTATGCTTTACTAATCTGGAGAGTCATCCTTAAGAGAAAACCGATTAATACATTAAAGTTTTCTGAAGTAAAAACACTGACATGTGCTTCTAATAATCCTGTCTAATATTTCACTTTACCTTTTTGATAACATCACCTTCTTCATCCTACAGCCCTACACAATATCTTATCCTGCTAATAATTTGAACTTATTACTCAGATTATGTTTAGCAGAGTTGATAAATAGTACTATCTAGATATAACAACTGTTTTCATTTGTATTTTCATTTTTGAAATGACATTGGTTTAAACAGCTCACTTATAACTCAGAACATTTGCAAGGCAGTGGGAAGTGTAGGTTAATTTTACTTTGGAATTTTCTGCTAAGCTAACCTCTAAACGTAATTAGGGAGCGTCTGTGGGTCTGTGTGTCTTTCTGTCTGTATTGTTACTGATTTGGGAACATTGTTTTTCTTTTATAGACTTAGATATTGATTGCCCCCCAGCATTACATTACTGGACAGTGCATATCTGATGTCTGACATGAGTGTCACTACAGGAACTATCTGATAATGTTTTTCATTAATCAGTCCTGAAAGAGTTAAATGCTCTAATTATATGTCAGTGATCTGTTCACACCCATGCTCATAGCAGCACAGAATTCATAAGAGTTAAATCTTGAAAGTTGATTTCTTGTCCATCAATAGAAGACTTGATGAAGAAAATTGATATTTGCATATAGTGGAGTACTCATCTCCTTTGAGGAAGCATAAGTAGAGCATATTTGTATGAAAATGGATTGACTTTGAGTTCACTGTGTTAACTGAAATAAATCAGACACACAATAAAGCTTAATTATCCCATGGCTCCTTTTATATTCTCCTATATCTCAAATTACAAAGATAGAGCAAAATGAAAGAATTAGGAAATAGGAAGATGGATCTTTCTCAAATGGGAGTGGATCAAGAGGTGAAGGAAAGGGAGAGGGCAAAGAGGAATAGGGAATGAAAAGAATTTAGATATGTTATATATGTGTGCCAACTCCCAAATGTAATCATTGTGTAGAACAAATGGGTACTAATTAAAAATAAACAAATAAAAATCAAGCACTTCAAATTGTTCTTTCATACATAGCCAATCCATGGGTTACCCTATAAGGGCTAAGAAACCAAACGTAAGTTCCCTTGTGTGAGATAAATGCCTCCTCTTTCTCTCTACAACTCCCAGCTCTGCTCACAAGCAGGTTACCCATGCACTTGGAAGAGGAGCATATGACTGCTCTAAGTGAATGGACGAAGGGAGCTGTAGATCCAGGAACACAGTCAAGCAGAGAGACTCATTCTACTTGTGCACAAGACATCTTTTAATGAATGCTTTATTTTTTTTTAAACAGGAAAAAATCCCAAAATCCAAAAGTCCAACTTTCCTAGAGAGTGTATCAGATATTTCTTTCCAGTACGGAAGTGCTTTGTGTTTGACCGACCCACAAATGACAGAAACCTATTATTCAACATTGAAAATGTTCCAGAAAGCCAACTGGAAAGGAGATTTCAGGACCAATCAAAAAATTTCTGCTCCTATATATTTACCAATGGAAAAACCAAAACCCTAAGAGAAGGAATCATTGTCACTGGAAATAGTGAGTTATGTTTTGGTTTGGTTTAATTTGTTTCATATTGGCTTGGTTTTGTCATCTCAAAGCATAGCTCAGCGATTCATAATGAGTGAGGTAGCTGGGAAGCTTTTGTGGATTTGCCAATTTGTTTGTTTCTATAAAGGAAAATGGAAAAGCAGATATTCATGCCACACATAGAAATGGATTTTGCTTAAAGTTTCCCTTATATGAGTGTTTATTAAGGGCTCATACATTTCAAAAATCAGTACGGTAAAATACAAAATACTACTGCTACAGAGAGACATCTTTAAAATGATAAGTCCCATAGGATGACAGGTTCACATATGTTATGAACTGATAAAGTTAGAAAATATAAAGCAGGCTAAGAGTTTCATGGAAACTCTCTGGCTTTAAGAAACAAATTTAAGCAGCACTATCCTCGTGGCAATGAGATCTTTGTAACAGTTCAGTTCTCATAAGATAGGCCCTGTCAGGTTCAATACTCTATGGTGCCATCTTCAGAGTTATGATATGGTTTTAATAAAGGTCTTTGCATTCTCTTTTGAAAATGGGAATATCAAATTATGTAATTCATATTATCTAATCAGTTCATTATTGCTATTAAATGGGAAACTGTTTTTCCAGCAAATCCTAGAACTTCTTGGTTGCAATCAGTAATTTAATTTTGCATACAAAAGAAAGAGTGTGTAGGAAAAAGCAGTGATGCTGTTAGAAAGAGACTGACTCATACAGAGATGAGCCAGTAAGATCTGGGGTTAGAGGCAACTAAGAGGAAGAAGAAAAGGAGAAAAAACCTTTAGGGTATACAGAAGTTGTGATTTTTATAATGACGCTCATTAAAGCTTGTGAAATGAGTGAGAACTTTCCATGCATTCTCTAAATACACATCATTCAGGGCTCGGGGCTCTGGTGGAGAGCTACGTGAAGGCCATCAACAGCGGGGAAGTGCCCTGCTTGGAGAACGCGGTGACCACTCTGGCCCAGCGTGAGAACGCAGCGGCAGTGCAAAAGGCAGCCGCCCACTACAGCGAGCAGATGGCCCAGCGAGTGCGGCTCCCCACAGACACGCTCCAGGAGCTGCTGGACGTACACGCCGCCTGCGAGAAGGAGGCCATCGCGGTCTTCATGGAGAGCTCCTTCAAGGATGAAAATCAGGAGTTCCAGGAGCAGCTGGCGGTAATATACCTTGGCATTTATCCTTTCTCAGCCTTGTCCTTCTAGAAAGAGGCTTACACTCCACATTCCTTATTCCATTGTTTAAATCCATCTCCTTATAAAAAGAACCTGGATTAGTGTGGTTAACAGGCCTCTTAGGGCTGCAGTGCACTCTAGAAAATGGCACTTAATTTACCATTACCTCAAAATAAATTGTCTACACAACATCATGCATCTGTTAGCTCACAGTTTTCTAGTGGATCTCAGCCAAGGTGGCTAAGCACTCTGCCTGCTGCACAAGCTGAACACCAGGCGTCTCATGGGGTTAGGCCTCATCTAGAGGCTTTGCAGAAGCCCTTACACCCTCCAAGCAAGCAAGCTACAGAAACAAGCTAAAGCTAGAGAAAACTATTTTTTAATGCTCCTTCATTTAATATATTTTTTATTTTTTTATTATTTATTTATTCATTTATTTTGTGTGTGTGGCCAGCTCAGCCCACCAGGGGGCGGGACTGGCTGGCATGTGGTGCTGGGGGATTGAACCGTGGTCCCTGTGCTTTGCTTAGCTTAGTTTGTTCTAAGTAGGTGCTTTAGACCACTGAGCCATCTCACCAGCCCCCCCCCCCCCCGAGAAAACTATTTTTAAGGCTGCTTAGGATTCCCTTATACCAAACAGAGTGCTCTCCGTTTCTTAAAGTCCACTTATCACCTGTGACATATGTAATCACAGATTGAACACTGTCCTATTCTCAGACAAAGGGGTCTTTCAGGAAGAGACCTCTCCTAAGACATCTTAATTCTGCAGTCCACAGGCACCATCACTGAAAGTTGTGTTACATTCTGTAGACCAATTGAAAACCAGCCAGTATTTTAGTTCTTATTGAGGAAATCTAGTGAAATGGTATTTTTCAATACTTCACAAATAAAAAAAGTACCTGTTCCTGTTTCTCACACACTCAAGCTGTCACTGACATAGTGTGTGAAAGAATCCACATTCCGTGGAAATCATTCCTGGAAATTTAGTTCATCAGGAATTTATTTTTATCTACAGTAATTCAAATTCTCTGATATTTTACTTTTACTCAGAATTTAATCCTTTGGTTATTAGTAGAGTTTGGGTCCTTGTTAGTTATATTATAGCTGAACTAATTATAAAGCTTAAATCTTCTGAAGTCATCATCTTACAGATGGATACTGAGCCTCACACAGGAGACCTTGCAGAAGTCACAGAGGAATCAGGAATTAGGACCAAAGTCTCCCGACTCTTTACTATGTGCCAGCTCACGCTGAGGCACTCAGACTTGATTTTTTGGTTTTCTTTTGTTGCAGTGTGGGGGGTTTTCAGCTTTTTGTGTGGGTTGTTTGTTGTAGATTTCTGTTGTTGTTTTTCAAAGAGAATCCCAGTTACCTCTTCCTTCTAAAACCTCCTTTGTGATAGGTTTTAAAGACAAAAGCAACAGCAGTAGTGGTGGCCCAGCAGTGAAGCAGAAATGGTGGAGGGAAAGCCTTTATTGACTCTAAACACACGGAGAGGACCAAGGGCAGGAGATGGGCGGATCCTCTGACCTGAGACAGGGAGCCTGAGGCTTCATGGACTTCTGCCAGGGGCAGAGCTTGAGGGACAGGTTTAGTGATGTGTAAGGAGCTGATTGGAGGTTCCCTTGTGTGGGCGGAAAAGGTCAAAGGAGGTTGTACGCAGGACTGGAGTGGGGAAAGAGGAGGAAGTGGTCATTGGGAAGATAAGCCATATCAGACAACCATCAGAATAATTCTGCAATTCACACTAGGGCAATAACCTATCACTGTGTACTGTGTTTCCCTACATTATATTGGCAGAGCACTGTGGAGAAAAAGAAGGAAGATTTCTTGCTGCAGAATGAGGCAGCATCTACTAAATACTGCCAGGAAGAGCTGGAGCAGCTCTCAGCGTCCCTAATGGACAACATTTCACAAGGAATCTTCTCTGTTCCTGGAGGCCACCGGCTCTACTTAGAAGCAAGGAGGGAGGTTGAAAAGGGCTATGAGCTTTTGCCCAGGAAAGGCGTTAAGGTGAGGAGCATGGAGTGGGTGGGGACGGCCAGCAGGCTAGAGTCAGAGCTGCTCCTTCTAAAGGTGTAAGACCACAGTGCCATTTCTAAAACTTAAGCAGAGTGTGGCAATATGTTGATATTTGTTTCATTTTTATGTCTACTATCAATTAGATAGTCTTATATAAACCAGATCTAATTCTTCCCAAAGAGGACCTTGAACTAAGAATTCAGGCGAAACAAACCATTTCATTTATTTATCAAAAAATGGGTAGTTTAAGATCTGGCAAGATAGGTCAATGGACTAAACAACCACTTTGGCAAGCATAAGGACAAGGGTTTGATCCCCAGTGCCACATGCCATGCCGGCCCTCCCCCAGGGGCATGCTGAGCCAGTGAAGTAGTCCAGGCATGGTGATGGACCCCTGTAACACCAGTACTGGGGAGGCTAAAAATGTGAGGATCTCTACAAGTCCAAGCTGCATAGTGAGACCCTGTACCAAATACATAAATGAAAAAAAAAAAAAAAAAGATACCTTGAGGAGTAAGTGTAGGAGATACAATATGGAAGCAATTACAGTTATATTCTTTTCCATGAGGTGATCTTACTTTGGAGGAACAGAGCACTGTTCCTTTGGCAATAGTGTGATAACTGTCAGTTGACTCACCAAAGTCAATCTCATGTTGTCATTTTTCTTTTCTTTATGTCATTTTGAGACAGGGCTTCATTATGTTCTTCAGGCTGGCCTTGAGCTCCCTTTGTAGCCCAGGCTGGCCTACAATACCTGGGATGTACCCACAGTAAATGGGCAGCTAAGAGAAATTGAGCATCCCTTTTGATACCAGGTATACAGTGTATTAAGTGATTTGGTTGGATTGCCAATTTAGGCCTCAGAGAGTAACACAAACCAGGTGCTACAGGCATTGTCTTCCATGCTGATGCACTAAAAAACTGTAGTCCATAGAGGACCAAACGAGTAGCCTAAGATCGCACACCAGGCAGGTGATAGCACTGAGGTGGCATCCAGGAGACTTCGATTTTTTTTTTTTTTTGAGAAGTCCTCATGTTGTTGTCTTTTGAGGCTGTACAAATGTACATTCCCCCAACAGTTCTACAGAATTTCCTTTTCCTGAACATTCTCAGCAACCTCTGTTATTTTTAGATTATGTCCATCATGTGTGAGCTGATACCTCCCCGTGGTTTTGATTTGTATTTCAGTGATGATTAGTGATGTTGAGCACTTTTACAAATATCTGTTGGGCCTTTGAATTTCTTCTTTTGAACTATATCTGTGTAGGTCTTTTGTCCATTTTAAAAATCAGGTTGTTATTTTTACAGCTGAATTGTATGAGTTTCATGTGTGCATTGGACCTTAACTCCTTACCAGATGTATTTTACAAAGATTGTTCCCATTCTATATATTGCCTTTTCATTCCATTGCTTATTTCTCTTACTGTGTAGGAACTGTTTGGTCAGATGTCTTCCCACATTTATTTTTGCTGCTCTTAACTGGGCTACTGGTATCAAATCCAAACATTCATCACCAAAGTCAATCTCATGTTGTCATTTTTCTTTTCTTTTTGTCATTTTGAGACAGGGCTTCATTGTGTTCTTCAGGCTGGCCTTGAGCTCCCTTTGTAGCCCAGGCTGGCCTCACACATACTCCTGCCTCAGCCTCTTGAGTGCTGGGATTACAGGTATGTGTCACCAAGCCTGGTGCCAAAGTCAATGGCAAAGAGGTTTTTCTTCCCCTGTGTTTTTTTCTAAGAGTTTTACACTTTTAGATCTTGTGTTTACTTTTTTTTTATGTAAAGTTTATGATAAAGGTCCAATTTCATTTTTTCTTGGAATTTTTGTTCTATTTATTTTCATACACTTTTAATACCAGTATCATAATATTTTGATTACTACATAAATATGATGAAATATTATTCAGACTTAACAAAGTCTGTCTGTTGTGATGGCATGGATAAGGTATCTTCATACCATTATCCATGGATGAAAGTAAGGACACTACTCTAAGAAAGACGTAGGAAGGCATTCAATTCTAGTGACACAAACCAAATCCTGAAGTCCAACTCCTATTCATGTACAGTAGAATGGTGATTATGAGGGGTTGGGGGAAAAATACTGATAAATAGATACAAACATACATTATTCTGTAATGTACTTCTGGAAACCTAATGTACAGAAAGTGTCTATAATTAAAATAATCTATTACACACCTGAAAGTTGCTGAGAAAGTACATCTAAAGTGTTCTTACAATAAAAACAAAAGGTAACCATATAGGGTGAGGGATATATAAATTATCTTGATTATAGAAATCATTTACATATATCAGAACATAATGTTTTGTACCTTAAATGTATGCAGTTGTTTTTGTTACTCCCACCTCAACAAACCTGGAAAATCTCAGAAGGCATCTTAGAAATCATCCTAGAGGGAGAAAATAGAAGGTTAAGTATCACATTAGGAAAGCCAAGAGCACCATCGAGGCAGAAGAAAAGAAATATTGCAAATAAAAGGAGCTGTGTTTCTAGAACTTTGCATGATCTGATCTGAGCTGTAACTTGGCATGGGTGGTGGGCACTGAGAGAGGCTAGAGGGCTGGGAAGGAAGTTGTTGTAAAGAGTTCTGTAGAAGTCTCTCAGCTGAGACCACAGATGTAAAGGAATCTCTGTGGGATCCTAAGAAGGAGGGGAAATTTACATATGTATAGGTGTATTGAATAATAGCTGTCTCATCAGAAGCCTGGATCTCTGCCTGAAGTTCCTTCTAGTTCTAGTTTTGTTCTTCTTGGTTCCCAGGCAAATGAAGTCCTCCAGAGCTTCCTGCAGTCTCAGACTAGTGTAGAAAACTCCATCCTGCACTCTGACAAGGCTCTCACTGATGGAGAGAAGCAAATAGAAGGTACTGTGAGGGTTTCTAATCTTGGGTGGAGTAGACAGGTTGCCACAGACTCAGCAGGCTGCCTGAACAGGAAAAATTTCCTCAAGTAAGGAGCTTCCTATTCTATGATAGATCTCCTACTTGATAAATCTGAGGACAGTAAAGAGATTAGAGGTTCACCCCCAGCCTATCAGTGCCTTTCCATAACATTCAGAACCTTGACCCTCCTGACATGGATAGGTGGTGAATTCAGAGACATTTTCCCTTGGCTATGTTCAAAATCAGTTTGATCTCTGAGCTCAAGCACTTAGAGCTCAGGCCTGACTATTGTTCCTTCCCTCTCTAAAATCTTTGGGAAGCAGCTGAAAGGGCCAAAAAGGAGGCAGCTGAGAAGGAACAGGAGCTGCTAAGGCAGAAAAACAAGGAACAGCAGGAAAATTTGGAGGCCCAGGAAAGAAGCTTCCAAGAAAATGTGGCTCAGCTAAAGAAGAAGATGGATGAGGAAAGGGAGAACATTCTGAGGGAACAGAAAATCATGTTGGAGCACAAGCTGAAGGTGAGTCTGCACAGGGCCTACCAGTGCCTGAGGTGGAACAGACCAAAATTTTAAGTACAGTCTTGATTCCAACTGTAATTTCCAGAGAAATCCAAAGGTAAATGTTTCACTAAAACCTTAGGTGACCCACACTCCTACTGAAGCCTGTAGGAACTTAGTACCTCTGTAGAGTCAGGCTCTGAAGGGTACAAATAATGTCCCCCAGGGTTCCAGGTGGCTGTTTGTTGAGATTATAAGGTGGTCTTAGTGTATTCTATTTGAATACGGCCTTAGTCCACTCATGCTTAGAATTCTTCATGCAGCTATCAAAAGAGATCTGAAACAGATCTGAATTTGATCTGAATTTATTAGATTTGTCCTGATGTAAGATGGGGGATGGGAAGAAGTTCAGAAAGTGCTTCATTTGATTCAATTTCTGCCTGTTTCATTCTGTACAACTAAGGCAAAATAAGCCCCTTGTCCCAAACTGGCACTCGATAATCAGTGTTCCATACAAAGTCAGCATTTCCCATACTCTGTTAGATGAACATGGTTATTCTACCGCAGTTAGAGCTCAGCTTGCACTCTGCCAAGGAGCTTCTCTTGTGCAGGAACCAGATACCTCTTGACTCTAGTAGGATTATACTGAGCAGATCTCTCCTGGACCTGGGATAAGCTCCCTGTGAGCATCAAACATTGGGAAATAGCAAAGAATATTCTTTTGGGGAGGATAGGGTCTCAACATGCAGTTCAGGCTGGCCTTGACCTCAGTTTGTAGCCTAAGGTGGTCTTGAATCAATAGCAATCCTCCTGACTTGGAGTCTCAAGCACTGGGATTCAAAGGTTTGCCACCACACACAGCACAAAGAATAGTCTAAGGTCAAAGAGAAATACATATATGCACTTAACAGCAGAAATTATTAAATACAAAATTCTGACGGATAATCAATGAGGATTTTCAAAAATGAATTCTTCATCTTTTATAGGTCCAAGAAGAATTTCTTAAGGATGACTTTAAAAACAAATCTGAAGCATTAAATGAAGAGATACAGCAACTAAGAGAGCAAATTAATAGACCTAAAAGCAAGAAATCTCGCTTTGTACGGTTCCGTAATAAAGTCACTGGTCCTTTCCTACCACGGTAGCCTGGGGCTGGTAAATACCTTAATTTGGTTTAGGGATGAAAATGTGTGGTTCACAATTGTAATACAGTCTGAGAGTTTCTGTGAAAGAAACAATAAAAAGAGACTTCTTTAATTTTAAAAACATAAGAGTGTGCCTCTATGAAAGTCTGTGTCATAGCAGTTTTATTTGAGGAAAAAAATAAAATAGAAAGAAATTATCAGGCATGCCGGCCTCGTCCCCAGGGCACTCTGAGACAACGATTGAGACTGGACATGGTGACATGTGTCTTTAAGAAATTTAGTATAGTGAAAGACACATTTTCATTAGTCTCCCTAAAAATATTTCTTCTCATTCCATGTCCCAAACCAGCGGGTCAGTCAAGGAAGGTCACCTGGGAGAGGAGCGGGGAATTGAGGAGGGGACAAAGGACAGGAGATGTGAGAAATGAAGACAAGACAGGATTCTGATCAAGTCTCGTTTATTCAGGGGAGGTGCTGGGTACATATAGTGGAGGCATAGGGAAATGACGTTGGTGGGTAAAAGGCGCAAGTAACTAGGCAACCGGGCTATGACAGGAAGTCCCACCTCCGGGGCATAGCGGGAGACTTATGGGAAATAAGTGGGGTAAAAGAAGAAGGAGGAGCTTAGGTCAGCAGAGGTAGGGGAAGAGGAAGTCAGCGTCACTAATGACTAATGCACCAAGAGAATTTTATAGGTCAAAGGCTTTCAGGTGACCATTAAGGGATATGTGGCATGGAGTCATGGTGTGGCAGATTCACAGGATTTAGAAAGACTCACTTGCAATAGTATTGGAGGCCTGGAGTAATTGTGCCTCCCACAATTCCAAACACATGTATTCCAATTATTCTTTGCAACTTTCTGAAGCAATTCTGGAAGTTCTCCTTATGAGGGTATTTATAGGTGTGATAAAAAAAAAAAAAAAAAAAAAAAAAAAAAAAGTGTTTGCTGCTTCCGAGTATAAAAACGAGGCCTTGTAAAAACCTTAGCGTGTCCTCCTCCATGACTCACCAGAATGGCACAGTGTGACTGCTGGCTCTTTCTCAAACTAAAAATGATCATGAAAGGTCAAACTGACCCAGGACAGCAAGGCATTCATACAACACTGCTTCTAAAGGAAGTCACGGGCCGGACAGATGGCTCAGTAGAATAAGCGCTTGCCTGGCAAGCACAAGGGTCTGAGTTCAATCCCCAGTTCTGCAAAATAAATAAATAAATAAATAAATAAATAAAATAAAATAAAATGAAGGCACTCACAAAACAGGACTCCAGTTGCTTCAGAAAATGATAATAGTGGACTAAAGTGCCTGATTACGCAGGCTCAGGGACCAGGGTTCAATCCCCAGTCTGCCGTGCCAGCCCCACCCCTAGGGCGCACTGAGATGGTGACTGAGACTGGGGATGTGAGCACATGCCTATGATCCCAGAGCTTGGGAGGTTAAAAATAGGAGGATCACTTGAGTACGAACTGTTTAGTGAGATCCTAGAGATCTTGTACTAAATGCATTTTAAAAAAAGAAAAGAAATGACAATAGGATATTTGAGTGAGTAGAAGTATTTGGAGTGAGGTTAATGGCAGTGTCTTTCCCTGTAATAACTTTTTTAATATTTAAACTTTCATGATACTTTTCTTGCATACCTTGTATGTGTATTTCCACAATTATATTTTACATACTGTCAATAAGGACAATTTTGGACGTACACACTTGCACAATTACATGAAAATTTCCTTGTGTAGTACTCCCAGAAATGAAATTCCTAGGTCAGCAAGGATTAGGGTTTAATTGCATCTTTCTACATTAGGTTTTTTTCATTCAAATTCTCTCTGGCAGCTTACCTACTTGCCAGAACAGCAATGTCAGCCTCACATCAACAGTTTTCATTTCTTTTGAATACTAACTGTGTGATGATACCTTGTTTACACGTTAATTTGCATGTTTTTCTGACAAACCAGGTGACACATCTCTTCATGTGTTTGCTGATTCTTTATTTTTGTGAAATGCTGTTTTTGTTTTTTTCTATTGCGTAATTTGCATTTTTTCTATTTGTAAAAGTTCTTTAAGCATCTTGGCTTTGAGATGACTGGTCGGTGTCATTTGTCCCTCTGTGACACCCTTTAACTTATGGAATTTTCATGAAGAAAGTTCATCATCTTAATGTGACCAACAATATTTTACTTTAACCCCAGCAGCATGTGTGGGGTGCGTGCGAGTGCTTGGGCAGGTGTGCATGCGCCTTGTGTTCGGTGTGAAATCCTTCAGCTGTGGAAGGCCCTGGTGTTACTTATCTCTTTATGTTCTAAAGCATGTCATTATACTTTTCTAATTTAGCTCTATAATTTAGTAAGAATGGAAAATCTATGTTGTGTGAATATGAGTTCAAAATAGTTTTCTGGACAAAGAAGACTCATTTTTCCCAACACACTTTAATAACAAGTTAGTCTTTAACCCAACCTTTGGAAAGAACCACTCAGGTTGAAGTATGAAGCTATGCCTCTGTGTTCTGGGTGTCTCTTTTTTTTTTTTGGGGGGGGGGTCTGTCTCAATTTTTACATTGGGCTTATTTCTCCAACCATGGGTGCACATATGACAGCACATTATTTGCTAAACTGTAAAGTGCTTTAATTTATGCTCTAATCAATCCACAAAGCCTTTCAAATGTATCTTAACTTTACTCAAAGATTTGAAATTCCATATAAACTTCAAAAGTATTTTACCTCCCTAGCAATGATTTAGTCTGTTACTGGGGTTACAATGAATTTATTATCATTTTTCTATCAGCTTCTTTTGGTTAACTTTTTTTTTATGTATTTAGTACTGGGTCTACATGGTCTCTCTATACAGATTGGACTTGTAGTGATTCTACTTGTTTCTCGGCCTCCCAAGCGCTGGGATTATAGGTGCGCGCCACCCTGCCCAATCTAAATCGCCTTCTCAGTGCGCCCCAGGGGCAGGGCTGGCATGGCAGGCCACGGATGGAACCCCCGGCCCTTGCGTCGCCTAAGCAGGTGCTTTTATCTGCTAAATTTTCTGGCCAGCCTTCTGTCAGCTTCTCTTAAAAACAATCTATTTACATTCATTGTGGAAACATTTTTACTATGTAGAGAATTTTGAATTATCATTTACTATTCAATATTTTTAAAGCTGTTATTCCTTTTGTTTTTAACTTGCATACTTCCCTAAAAGAAACTACTCATATTCTTACCTGTGCTTCTTTATTATTTTTTTCACAATATAATATAAAATTTATTTAAAAAATTAAAATCCCCTTTTTTCTCATTGACTTTATTGAAAATCAATAATTATATAACATATTAAAAATTGTAGGCAAATATTGAAATGTGAAAGATATAAGATGCAGAGTGAATTTTAGAGAAATAAAATGAATACACATCATAAGATTAATAATAAATTGCACAGTGTAAATAAATTATTTATAAACTTGAATGAATATAACAATAAAAATTGTCCAAAATAAAAATGAAGAAGAATTTACAGATCAGTCATATAATAGTTCTCTCTGTGCCAAAATCAAGAAAGTTATATTCATATAATTAGAATTCTCAAAGTAGAAAGGGGTAGGCTATAAATATTTAAAGATAAAAAATTTCTGAATTTAGTTGAATTTTCAGCACCACACTTCCAAGAAAAAATGAAACTTTTGCACAAGAAATTTGAATAAAATCAGATCAAGTTACACAAAAATGAAATTATCCAAAACTTATTGTAAAAAAAATCATTAAAGCATATACATAAAAAGTATTAACTATAGAACAAAATTAAATAGTATCTCATTCCACATTAGAAAGAAAAAAAACACAAGTGTGCAAGAAACTAGACTAATTAAAGGACTTAAAGAAAAAAAAAAAAAGATCTGTCCTCATTGAATTTTATACTTAGCAAACATATCTTTGAAAACTAGAAGTGAAATATTTTCCAGTTGTACAAACTCAAAATATTCTAATACCAGATGAAGCATAGAGGAAATATCAAAGAGCATAATTCAGAAGGCAAAAGAAGTTGCTGTATAATCCTGGATAAAGAATAAAGAGCTCTCAAAATGGTAGTTATGCAGGACTATGTAAAATATGTGAGATGAACCCATTTAAGAGGCCATTGAAGATTTCTACAAAACAGTATCAATCTTATGTCAGGTTATACACATATTTTTTTGTGTGTGTGTATAAAAGACAAGGAAGAAGTCATACAAATTCAATAAAAAATGCAAATATACTTTTTAAAGTTTCTAATAGTAGGAGAAAATATCATACCATGTGCTTTAAGTAGATTGTAAGTCAAAAAACAGTATAAATCTTAAAATAAAAATTAAGATTAAACAATATTCAGAAAATTAAATATTAGTTAATTAAAAATTAAATGTTTCAAAACACTTGAACTAAGAAAAAGTTTTCATGATAGTAAAGAATTACTGGGGCTGGGGAGATGGCTCAGTTGAATAAGCACTTTTCACTTGCCTGGCAAGCCAAGGACCTGAGTTCAATTCCTGGTTCTGAAAAAAAAAAATTACTAAGAATAAAGCATAAGATAAATACTGGAATGGAAAATATATGACCAGCACTTTTAACAGTTTACAGATAGGATATTGCACAAAGTTCTAGTGTGTCATGGACATGGATAATGTCCACAACACTTACTGGTGGCCAGGTGTCACTTGTGGGACTGAGTCACTGCTATTTCCTTGATATCCACCTTTTAGACCCAGACAGAATCATGCACCCATAGGGTGCAGGAGAAGTTCATTTGTAGAGTATGCTGATGGAAATATTTTGCTGCTGTATATAAAAGAATAATTGAAATACTGTTGTTGTATACCTCTTTGTCTCCTGTGTTTGTTTGCTCCATTTGGTGGATTCTGTCTATTCTCATTCATGGAGTTGTGGTCATTTTGATCATTCTCTAGAGTATCATTTAGTAGTCTGTGTAGGGTTGGCTTTGTCATCATGAAATTCTTTAGTTGTTCTTTGTCATGGAAGTATTTCATTTCTCCATTATACTTGAAAGAGTTTTGTAGGGTAGATCAGTCTAGGTTGGAATTTGTTTTCTTGCAAGACTTGTAATACTTTGCTCCCTGCTCTTCTGTCTTGATGTTTTGTGAAGA